TAGCCACGTGTTCAAAAATAAATTTCCACTTAATTCATCAGTTATATGAAATTTTAGTTAGAAAATAAGTTTTAAGGTGGTTGCCGCCTGTTTCGAAAGTGGTATTTCGTTTAATTATACATAAGTTACATGAAATTTTAAAATAGGGTTATCAAAAGAACGAGTGTTAAGAAATCTTTAAGCTGAACATTTGGTTTTTTTTTTTTTTGAAAAAATTAAGCTCAAATTATTTAATAAGTTAAATGGATTGTCAAAAGACGGGTATCAATCGAAATGGGTTTGAAAATAATTTATTTCTAAACTGTATTTAGGAGAGTTGCCATGTGCTTAAAAAAAATTCAATTCAACTTAATTCATCAGTTAATTGAAATATGTGTAACAATGCCAGGCGAAAAATTTTAGTTTGAAAATACTTTTAAAGGGGTTGCCACCTGTTTGAAAAGTCGAATTTGTTTTACTTATACGAAAGATACATATATGCAATATCGAAATATTAGTGTCAAACGAAAGAGTTTTAAGAAAACTATATGCTGATAATATTTTTAATTAGAGTTGCCATCTATTTTTTTAAGGTCATCATCTGCACCGTTATTTCGAATTACCAAAATGAGAAGTCAAATAAAAGAACTAGGATTCTAGATAGATGTGCACAGGTTTTATTTTTTAAGTTACAGGGAGATTTGAAATTTGATGAAATGAAAACCGACCCCATGCGAGACCTCTCTCACTGAGAAATGGTTTAGATTAGTTATTAGGAATATTGTTGTGAGGTTTTTCAATAGAGTTTCACCTGTTTAAAAAATTTAATTAAACGCTGGCGTTTTGACGCCATGTGGGTTCACTAGTGCCATCTATTATAAATACATCATTGCTTTTATAATTTACCATTTGTCGGCATTGACAAGATCGGACCACTACAACACATAGCTCCTATACAATTGATTGTTCAGAGATTAGGCTTTGCTTTAAAACTCCCATATTAGGTTTGTTCCACACGAGCCCGCGGGTGCCGAAATCAGCCCAGAAAGCGTTACTCACGCTAGAAAAATGGGTAATAGAGAGCGAATACTTTCGTAAATGTGTCTTCTTCGTGCCCGAAATAGCCCGGACTTTTTTTCCGGGCAGAAATGTTCAAGAAGTCAATTTGAAATAACAGCTTGTTTACATCCGATAGCAAATTTTGTAAAATACAAAAATGGAAAATAGCACTAAAGGTTCAGAAATGTAGGTATTTGCTAATTTCATTAGCTATATAAGATAAATACACATAAAATCATTGTTTAGAACTGATTTGTTGATACCGGGGACGAAAGGTGGTTTTATGCGTTCCTCACGCTCTGGGCACCTTTGGCACGGGTTGACACATTTTTGACACTTGTGAGAGTAAATTATTTTTACGCTCTAATTACCGAAAAGGGCCGGAAAGCGTGTGGAACAAACCTATTATATTGCCGAACAAAAAAACAAAAATTCAACCTATGAATCAGTCTGGCATAAGCTGTTAGCGAGGCAGGTTGCGTTCAGTGTTGCCACAGACAAATTTTTTATTCTACCAAAATTTCCTACCATAACAAAAATTTTTTTTGGGAATTATGTTGAAGAGAGAAGTTTTTTCAAGTGTCTTTCTTCGTAAATTTTTTCACTCGTCATTTTCGCCATCAAAACACCACCGCTAAGAACTTTGGACGGTGCGATGTTCCAAATTTTAGATGGAGAAGACAATTGTTCTCTAAGGTGTATCAGTCTACGATTCATGCTTCATGGGCAGGTACACAGATTATACTATGGGGTCTCCTCCACCAGTCCACAAAACCTAGAGTCCGTCTCTACAGAAAGACCCATCTAATTCAAATGGTACATTAACTTGCAGTGTGCTGTCAGGTAGCCATTAAGAGTTCTAAGTTCAAGGAGTCTTTCGGAGGCCCTTCTGGAAGGAGTTATGAAACTCTTTGATTGTCTTATTCCCTTTGACTTCCGCCAGTGGGCAGCAATCTGAGATTATTCCCAGCTAGTAGTTTTGCAGTGTATCCTTTAGATGTACCACAGAATAGCTCGGGACCATGCAAGTGCGTTTAGTCTCAACGCCTTGCGAAACAGTCAGGCCTTTCGTTGCGTTCAAACTCTTCATGTCCCGGAACCCACCACTGCGTTACGCTATTGTGAGCTCCCAGGAGGCTCAAAAGTTCACAAGCCTTGATGTCGTTTTAAAAGAGTCTAAGGCCTTTAACGATCCCTGAGTATCCGACATAATATTTATTCTGGCCTCATTTGCCTTATATGATGACATTCGCGAACACAGACTGCGAAGACCTGGAATATGGTTGGGTACGAGCCCACTGGAAAACTTTTCTGGAATCTTGGCATAAGTACGCCGTAAAGTATATGTATATGGATGTTCATGTTGTATATTGGCAAGAATTAGGGTATACGTTTGTACTTTGGAATCATGTCGTTATACGAACGCACCGGTGAAGTATTCGTGTTAAAATTGTTGCTAAAATGTTTGGAGATACATATTTTCTATTTTCCGAAAACAACTATTACTCATTGTCACGGAACCTACTAAAATCCAATCCAGCCTACCAACCTACCAAATGGAAAAAAACCTACCAGTTTTGGTAGGAAAGGCCCACGTGTGACAACACTGGTTGCGTTGTTTGCACGCTTCACAGCGCGCTGTTTTTGTCGAAAATTAGTTTTGCTTGCTTCAAGAAATTCCAGAATGGTGCGCGCCCACCTATGGATAATTTGATACGAAACTCTTTTGATCGTGAGAGCGCTGTCAAAAGGTTCATTTTATATAACATCTTCCAATAGTGCCACTGCTACGGAATACATGTATGGGCATTTATTAAGAAATTGTAGGAGATTTTCTTTTATTAAGTACAACACTCGAAAATCAAAAAATTTTGATACTTGGGTTGCGGTTGCATGTTATAAAATTCTTAAATAACGAGTAAAAGTGAATGTAAGTAAATGCATGTGAAGTTAATCCCCTGAAGCTGTTCATCGCCCCCTGAACTTTCTGTGCTGCCAAGTCGTAAAACGAGTTTAGGGGTATTCTCAAAGCGAAATGGAGAGTTTCATATCTAGTTATCCATCCGCACAACCTCCTCGTTTCAACTTAAGAAAACGACTGAATGACCGAATCATTCGCTCTCGGCAAAAGGCACCAACACATGCTCAAAATGTGAAAGTGTTAGTGTGCCCATCACTGATTTAGACAGTTAACACTGACTTTTGTGGTCTATTTACTTACAGTGAATTTTGTGAGCTATTTAGTTATAAGCAATACAAGTTCGGGCATTTACGTGTTGAAGACGGCGAGTACCGCAGACGATGGAATGATGAGCTGTATGAGATTTACAACGACATGGATGGACACCGACGCTCCAGCTCTGAAAGTATTCAACTCGGAACCCGCTGGTGGTAGCAGAGGGAGAGGGACGCCCCCACTGAGATGGAAAGACCAGGTGGAGAAGGACTTGGCTTCACTTGGCATTTCCAATTGGCGTCAGTTGGCACAGAAAAGAAACGACTGGCGTGCTTTGTTGAACTCAGTCAAAATCGCTTAGGTGGTTACAGCGCCAATTAAGAAGAAGAAGAATAGAAGTTCTACTGCAAAAAACATCAAGATATGGGTAAAACATGGGTAACACTGTGCTGCGCTGCGCAGTTGCGTTGAAACCGTAGCCGGAGTTGTCACGCCCACAGCAGTATAGAGAAAGCGCTAGCGTCATCGGCAACAGCCCACAGCGTTACATTTTTGTAGCTTCATTATATAAACGATTTGTTGATGGCGACATACATTTGAACGCGGCAGCGACATCATGCGTCTGTCACTAGAAAATTATAAATAGATCTAATCTGGCCACAGACACAATTGGGGTGTAGCTCTGTTGCCGCCAAAATAATTATCTACATAAGAGTACGTGTTAAAATAATTTGACAGATGTGGTCCGTAGGCCGTCGTTTTCAATGTGTTTCGAGCATAAGGCAAATTCACAGAAAAATTACATGTATTTTGTTTTTGCTTTTGAGTGATGAGAATGACACAGAAAATCATATTGACAAATTTAAAGCTTTTACTAAAGGATGATGAGAATATCGTGGATTTTACTACATTCCTTGCAATTAAATTCGTGCAAATCAGTACACTGCGCTGTGATGGCGCTTTGAGTTAGCGACACAAAAATCGCGCTATTACCCATGGATATCCAGATAAGTGTGCTTAACTCCACCTAATTGAGAAAAAACACAATGGAAAAGCTATACACAGATCTTTGGTTCCCTAAAAATATAACACGTGAAAACTAAATTTGGGGTATTCACAACGCTGTCGTAAGTGTCGTATTGTTGTATGTCGAAGCTTTAAACGGCTAAAAACATATTTAGAAGATTCGCAAGGTACCATTAAAGCCAAATTATGAATTCACACTATTAAAAATTAGTAGGTTATGATTTCATATTTTCAAAACATTTGTTTAACCTTTTGAAGTTTACGACCTACAATCATACGACACCGTTGTAAATAACCCAATAGTACAAAACATGCTGACATCATTGAATTTTGTTACCACCATCGATGATAGAGCACGGGTCTCTCAGGGACAAGAAACGTAAACTCTAACCCACTTCAAAAAATGGTATATGTATGTAGATGCTACTTACCCTATTACACTTACACTTTTGGATAAGGGTTAGTCTATATGGTAGCATCATAAACGTTTTCTTTATTTATTATATAGTCAGACCATGCTGACGAAAACGAGAGCGAGAGCTGATCATCAAAGGTAGACAAATTTTTATTAGGGAAATTTATGTGGGATCGATGTACTAGCATATATTTTGATCTCAAATTTTTGCCGAATCAGTTTAACGTTAAAATACGACCAAAGATTTAATCGACATTAGTAAAGGGTTACAACATGGAGTTGATGTTTTTTTTTTTTTTTTTTAATTTTATACCCCTCTCTCTCTCCTTAAATATTTAAACTCACCGCGCTCCGTTATCGGGATCATTGGCACTGAACCTATAGAAAGAAAAAAAGGAAGTGAAAAAGAAGAATTCGAAAAAATAATAAGACATTCCCTAAGAAAATGTGCAGCTTAAAACAACAACACAAAAATAAACAATTGTTATCAAGAAAATAGAGAAACTATTAATAACTTGAACAACAAAAATCTTAAGGGGTTCCAAGAATTTATACTAAATTTCGCCCACAGGATTGCGGGCATTAGAAATAGGTAGGGATGGCAAGATTAATCAAATGAATAGCATCAATCCGGTATTTTATTTCAAAAAGCTCATTTAAAAATGTACCAAAATGGTGACTTGGTTTGTGAGTGAAACAACCCTACAATTCCTTAAAGTCACACTACTGACAACAATGTATATCCGCATCACAGGTTCCGTACGAGTAAATAACTGCATACAAAGACGATGGAGGAATGATTATATATTATGAATTTTCTATTTGAATTGTAAAGTTTTATAGCCTTATTCATAAAAAATAAAGTAGCTTTACATAAGGTTTATAAATTGAAAAATGTATGAAAACGTCATTTTATAAAGCTTTTTAAACCTTCTTTATTTTTTATGAATAAGACCATTAGGGTTTAAACGGATCACTGTTGAGGCAAGGGAGGAAATGAAAGAAGTTCATTCAAACATTTACTTGCTTTCCCTCAAATATTCCCACTTGATTGACACATCAGGACCCACGGAACGGCGGTTTTCTAATGCCGCACAGTGTTCGATCTTTAAACTTGACACGACAAACATTGTTTTATTTTTTATTCCTTTTTAATCTGGATTCCCTATTACACAAAGAATTACTAAATATGCGGCCAAGTTTTTGTTTATATGTACAAGGAATTCACAGAAAACAGCAGCCAGTTACTATTAGCCGCTGAAACGCAAATGCTTTTGTCCGGGAAGGGAAGCTTAGCATGAATAGTAAAAGACCTTGCTTTGGCTTCTCAAAAATGGGCGCTGCTATTAAAAAGTACGGAGCAGAAAGTAATAAGGACGAAGGTCTTTCGCCGGATGAAACATTAGCGATAATTTTGGATTTAGATTTATCTACAAACAAATATAGATTAATTAAGCTGAATTCCAGCCATGTACATTCAAATTTTTTATATCTTTCATATGACAGTGTTTGGGACTCACTTATTCTATCGTAAAAATATAGCAGTAACGGAATCGTTTAATAATAATAATAATAGACTGGCGCTTACACATATGTTAGTGTTTGGCCGAGCTTCTCCTCCGATTTTTGGCGTGCGCCTTGATGTTGTCACACGAAGTGAAGGGACATGCAGTTTTACGCCGACTCCGAACGGCGATTATGAAAAGCTGTTTTTCATGGCAGAAATATACTCGGAGGTTTGCCATTGCCTGCCGAGGGGCGACCGCTGTTAAGAAAAAACCTGTTTTTCTAAATTTTTTTCGATATTGCTTTACGATACTGCTTACCACTACACCACAGCGGCCGCCAACGGAATCGTTTGCTGAAATAAGTTTGCGGTCGTGGATAGATCATACGATATTAAGGTTGATGTTGTAATGAAATGCAAATATTATTTAAATCGGGATGTGATGGAGCAAACCAAAGCGGTTATAAGCGAAAATAGTCTGAGGAATGTTTAGTATTTCCCTTGCTCCAATTCAAATGTATATATATAAATAATAGTAGTTTTGTTGAAGTCTTGCACATTACACGGATTGCACGAAATGTAAAAATTCTATTCCAAATTTGCAAGAGCAAGAGCACCCCATTTCAAAATTGTAGCATGCATAGAGAGCAAGCAGCAAAAGTCTGTGTGAAATACAATAAGAAGATACAGCAAAACAATTAAGTGAGCGAAATGAGAGGAATGAGAGAATATGTGGCAGTTTCAAAAACAAAACAGCTCGCACAGGGTCGCATTTATCTTGCTACGCTTTTTTGCAAAATATATGCATGGGTTTAGACATTGCATATTTTGCAGCATTAGGAGATGTAGTTTCCCATCTATTTTGTTGTTGTGTCTTTGCAAGCTATGCATTCCATGCAACGTGCATCGGCTTTGCAAGATTTCAGGAATACCCCTAATGTGAAAAGAGAGAGTTCTTCCCGCCATTGACGCTAAAGAAACCACTGATTTGATAAAAAGTGAGGTAGCAGAGCTTCGTCCAACAAAAGTGAATATATTAGTAGATGATGTTCAACCTCCTATTTATGTTAATTTAAAACTTATTTTATGTATGATTGACAAAAAGCTGTATACAGCTCTATCCAAATACACTCAGATAAAAGTTGATAAATGTAATCAAATCGTGTAACTAAACATAAACAAATCACGTATTGAGAGAAACATATTTACTTGTTGTAACTAAACTCCTTTCTCAGTGAACAATTCAATGTTATTTGTGTGGAGCCAAACCAACAAAAATGAACAAAACTTCAGTTTTATCAGACAGCACTCGAAGCTGGATTTTTAGAGTTTGGCTTGTCACCGTTAAACTCTTGGATACGGTTTATGGAATGTTTGTTGCATATAGCATTCACCCAGAAAAAAGTCAGCAAAATATATTTCTCTTAACACACGATTTTGTAACTACAACAAGCTAAAGTAACTATAACCAAATCTTTGTTGAGATAAATATTTTTATTAGAGTTTTTTCGGGGTGTATAGGCTGGAAATCAAATTATTCCAAGTAAGAGGCTCGGAAAATAAATACAAAGTTCACCAGAGAAAAACTATTATTGAGTAGAAATTTTCATCAGAAATGGGGTTATTGTAGATATGTTTATTGATATGATTATAATTGATCATTGCATCCTTTCTATCGGCCAGCTATCAGAAGAAGCCTAAGAATCAAGAAATAGGGCCAACAAACGCTAATTTCATTTGATCCCTTCATTTATAGTTTAAGAAAATCGCCAAAGACGAAGCGCGGAGCTATTACTTCTGATATTGTAAAATGGCTGAACTGATCTAGTAAATATTAAATCTAATGAGGATGAAACTGATTTGGGATAAATTTCTTTTTATAAAAAAAAGGAATTTATCTAAGTTTATGATATCTTTTAATGTAAGTTTCTTTTGTGAAATCATACGTACTACTTTACTCGGACATAAAATATATCAAACCTTATAGTAGCGGGGGAATTTGTAAAATTTTGTGCTTAAGTCTTCCTTTATTTGTGAAAGTGATCTATGCGAAAATTCATGATTTTATATCCATTAAAGTTATGATTTTTGTCGTCCTTTCGAAAATCGTACACTGGAAGCCGAAGTAGATTAACAATCAAAAATTCTTCAAAATTATTTTTTTATAAACTCATTTAGAAAACTCAGAAAATTTAAGTTAATTCCTTTATATAAAGGGTGATTCAAAACTGCATACAAATACTTGGCACACTTATTCCTTGGTGCAAAGCAAACCAAAAATATTTGAGCGCATTTTTTTCCACGGAGTTTATTTACTGAGTTAGGGTCAGTTGAAGATAAATAGATTAAGGCATTGAAGTCATAAATTTTTGGCTAATTTTGAGCTAATATCATTACGTAAAAACCTTGGGTATGATGAGCTGGAGAGGTTTTGAATTCCCTATTAATTAAATATAAATTTTGAAATAATCCATCACGATTTTAGTGCTGCTACACAGTAAATTTTTCGGATACTCTTTAATCATTTCGTAGTACTAAGTTATTTCAATTGGGAAATTTATCCGCTATTTGCCATAAAGCTCGTATTTTATGATGTTTCGAGAGTGAGAACACTACACAAAATCACCAACAATCGGTGCACCGCTTATCAGAAGAGAGTGAGACGAGAATCAAGTGTCATCTAAATGTTTTGTGTATCACCAGTGTCATGGTTACAGCATTGTATAGGCTTACAAGTATGGAAAGCGCCATTTTGTTTGTTTACATTTGAAAACAGCTGAGATCACCTGATTTTCAATTCTCTTATTCTCCGCACAGAGTTACATTCAAGTTTCAGAAAAAACTTTAAGATGCAAATTGAGAAATATTTTAGAAAAATGTGGTTTTATTCATTTGAAATGATTAAATAAGCAATTAAAAATGCATGCCAAGTCTTGGATTTCCAATAATAACGATAAATGTGTATGTTCCAGGCAATAATTTAAAATATTTGTGAAACTTATCGTTTTGCGCTAAAATACAACAATGTGTGTAAAATTCGTTGTCATTGTTTCTGTTTTGAATACCATATTCGTGCCTGCCGGTGGAAAAAATAGTTAAATTTGCATTTATTTTTAAGAAAACATAAATTAAAATATATTTCTTTTTAGAGCGACATACGGAAAAGTAAGATGATAAATTTGTATGATGAATATCTCGGAAAATCTTTCGCATCAAAATTTCTATTCTAATTTGAGTTCCAATTATGATATCAACAGGGATGCTTTGGAACGTATTTTTTGAAGACACATTTTTTATAAGTCTTGAGATTGTTGATTTAATTTAGAATTAAAAAAACTTGTTTATATTAAAAAATATATTTAGACTAGAAGTATGTAAACTACTTTTATAACGAATTGAAACGATTTTAATGAATATTCATGGTTACCATTAATAGTAGTATGACAGTTAGATATAATGCATATTTGACAAGAAAGATAGAATACAAGATTGCGCCGTCCTGGCGATGATGACATAGCTGTACAAAAAGTAAACAAAGTTGAATTGGATGTTGAAAGAAAATGTGAGAACAGCCAATTTTCTTAATAATAAATTTTTCAATAAGGAACGTGTTTTAATTGTGCTAATTTCTAATAGCCTTATTCATAAAAAATAAAGTAGCTTAAAAAAAGGTTTATAAATTGGAAAATGTTTGTAAGCGGCAATTTAAAAAGCTTTTTAAAATTTTTATTTTTTTATGAATAAGGTGAAAAAAATATATGATTTACAATAACTTTTAACAAGGAAAATAGGAAAAAAGGTGATTTTTGCGGAAGTGGGTATTAGTGAATTTCAGCGCATTTAAAGTTTCTGGGGTTTCGTTTACTTTTAG